GACACAGGGGCCCCATGATCCCCTAATGCCCGGGGGGCCCATGTGTTGTCAGTTCGCCACTGCTCCAGTAGGTGCCCCTGTTTTGCAGGTTCACTTATCCCCTTATGCCCGGGGTTTATTAACCCAGAGGACATCCTGTACAAACATTTAATAATGCAGAGAGCTCTGTATCACGGAGGACCATTCAGCACTGGAGAAGAGCCAAGAAAATGAATATAGCAATAAAAATATAAATAATAGAATAGAGGTAAGAAAACTAACATGATAGGTTCCTTGGATTCCGTGTAAATAAACTCTTTCTGAAATAATGAATATAGACTTTACCACTTTTCCAGACAATTCATCTATTCAGAAATGTAACAACAATCATAAACTGTATAACAAAGTGTCCTTTGGTTAGTAACAAATAAGTCAATGAAAAGACAATGAGGGGCACAATTTGGACACAGAGGATAACTGCGTTGTAAGAGGCATGAAAGAGACCATCTACTTCAAAGTGGAACAATCACCCAGACACCATGGGGTTTATTTACTAAAGCTGGAGAGTCCAAAATCAGACTCACTTCTGCATAGAAACCAATCAGCTTCCAGGTTTCATTGCCAAAGCTTCATTGAACAAGCTGAGGTTAGAAGCTGATTGGTTTCTATGCAGAAGGGAGTCTGATTTTGGACTCTCCAGCTTTAGTAAATAAACCCCCATCTGTCACCCACACATTTTAAAATCCCTATTTTTTGAGTATTTGATGACAATTCACACCTTTAGTCATGTAAGCCTAACTATTAACCAGGGGCAGACTGACCATTTGGAAACTTGGGCACTGCCCGAGGGCCCGGGGTCAGCAGGGGGCCCCATGGGATGCCCCTGGTACCTTTTTCATAGGCTTTTTTGAGTTTGGGCAAGGACACAGGGGCCCCATGCTCCCCTATTGCGGGGGGCCCCATGAGTTGTCAGTCCGCCCCTGCTATTAACGCATGTCCAGTGCTTCCTGTTATTAGAACAAGATGGTTTCACAAACTTTCAAACATGTCATTTTATTCTTGTTGACAGTCAACATTTCTCCTGACAGATTACATAGTGATTACATTAAACTGAGCAATGTGGATAACATTACTGGGGTATGTTCCTGACAATCAGAGCCCCAGATAACTCCAGGTGCTTGCATTAATGCTTATTGCAAAATGCTGTTGAACTGTGGTGCCATTCATTAGCTTATTAAATACCTGAGCTTCCTGAGATTAGTGAATACCCAATCAAATGCAAGGAAAAAAATTCATTTCTTAAAAGTTCTTGGGAAAATAATGCAACTGCACTTGCAAAATGTACAGTCTATTTGCCTTTAGTAAATCAACCCTGTGGTGTCCTGTGTGCTGTACTGTGAGAAATGAACCCTGCCTCAAACTCTCATGTGCCGAGTTGCATTTCAGTCTATTCATTTTGAATAGGCTGTTTAATGTATCTAGCAACAAAGGACAATGGTTGCAATGCATTCTTGTGTGAGGGCCATCAGTATGGAGGAAGCTGCTTGTATAAAAACACCTTCAACGTTACAGAAAAAGTTAATTTGAATACGATTACCAATACTAGCTGCTCACTCGTGCACATAGACATTTTAAGGTTGAAATATTGCACTAGTATAAAATCACTGGATTTTTTTTGCACCCCATTTACAGCAGGTGGTGTTTACAATCAGCCATAGAAGTGGCTATACCTGAGCCTGAATCTATGAAAGCTTCATGTGTTGTGGAAGTGGAAGATGTCTTGCCTTGTTCCTCTGCTGATGATCCTGCATCCCTTTAGCTCCAAGGATTAACGACCAGTGGCTGTGACCTCCCACATTATGAAGACCCTGGTGAGGTTTTTTTACATCAGTTATGGCCCATGGTTAGTAAATATGTAGACCCTTTGCAAATGGCCTACCACCCGAGACTAGGAGTTGAGTAAGCTATAATCTTCATGCTAAATCACATGTATGCACATCTGGATAAGCCAGAGAGCACTGTGAGGGTCATGTTTTTTTACTTCTCCAGTGCTTTTGATACTATTAGGCTGGAGCTCTTGGGTAAGAAGTTAGCAGCAATACAGGTTGATGTTTCCTTCATAGAAGAGGCTTAGATTGGGGGTGGGAGTAGTTTTGAGCTTAGTTAGGTTTTTGACTAGAATTACACATTACACCGTGTTCCAAATTATTATGCAAATTATATTTTTCTCATTTACCTAAATAATTGATGCAAATAACAGTCAACATAATTCTCATGTTATCAACTATTAAGAGTACAATTCAAATTTTATTGAACAAACCTCCTAATGATAACAGTATTTTTTTTAAAACATAAAAAACACTTACAATGCACTATTCCAAATTATTACGCACATTAAGTTTCAAAACACTTTATAGGTTGTAAAGAACTGAAAATTGTCATTTGTTGTGTTTGCAGCATATTTACTGAAATCAAAAGCTATTTCAATCAAACTTTTAACAACATTTTAACTTTTTAAACATTTTAACAGGTCACGTTACATTTTAACATAGGACCCCTTATTTGATAGCAGCTTCACAAGTCTTGCATCCATTGAACTTGTGAGTTTTTTTGGACAGTTTCTGCTTGAATTTGTTTGCAAGATATCAGAATAGCCTCCCAGAGCTGCTGTTTGGATGTAAACTTCCTCCCACCCTCATAGATCTTTTGCTTGAGGATGCTCCAAAGGTTCTCAATAGGATTGAGGTCAGGGGAGGATGGAGGCCACACCATGACTTTCTCTCCTTTTATCCCCATAACAGCCATTGATGCAGAGGTATTCTTTGCAGCATGAGATGGTGCATTGTCATGCATGAGGATGATTTTATTACAGAAAGCATAGTTCTTCCTTCTGTACCAGGGAAGAAAGTGGTCAGTCATAAACTCCACATACTTTGCAGAGGTCATCTTTACACCTTCGGGGGCTCTAAAGGGGCCGACCCGCTCTGTTCCCATGATTGCGGCCCAAAACATGACTCCACCACCGCCTTGCTGACGTCACAGCCTTGTTGGAACAGGGTGGACGTCCACCAACCATCCACTACTCTATCCATCTGTACCATCCAGGGTTGCACGGCACTCATCAGTCAACAGAACTGTTTGAAAATTAGTCTTCATGTATTTTTCTGCCCAATGCAGCTGTTTCTGTTTGTGAGCATTGGTTAGTGGATGCCGAATAGAAGGTTTATGCACAGCTGCAAGACTCTGGAGGACTCTACACCTTGATGTCCGTGGGACTCCAGAGGCACCAACAGCTTCAAATATCTGTTTGCTGCTATGTAATGGTATTTTAGCAGCTGCTCTCTTGATCCGATGCATGGATCTGGCAGAAATCTTCCTCAATGTGCCTTTATCTGCACAAACCCGTCTGTGCTCTGAATCAGCCACAAATCTCTTAATAGTGATCACGCTTAAGTTTTCCTGAAATATCTAATGTTTTCATACCTTGTCCAAGGCATTGAACTATTTCACTCTTTTCGGCAGCAGAGAGATCCTTTTTCTTCCCCATATTGCTTGAAAATGGTGCTCTGCTTAATAATGTGGAACACCGTCCACATTAGTAGTTTTTCCTTAAATTGGGCTCACCGGCCAATCTAATTATCACAGGTGTCCAAGATTGTTTTCAGTGATCAAAAGAGCCCTGACACACAATGCCATCCATGAGTTAAACTGAAAAACAATCTTTGTGACACTTAAATAGAATTTGCATAATAATTTGGAACGCGGTGTAAGTTTGTCACACTTCCCACACTTTACCTTCATTTCAATTCAGGTCTTATTAAACAGTAGTAAATAAGGTATGTTACAATTGCTAAAAAAGCTAAATTTTAGGAAGATATACAAAAATGTTGTTTATTATCAGACTTTTGAGTATATCACCTTAAATTCTGAATAAGTTGCACACACAAAATGTTGACTGTGGAAAAAATTAGAAGATAATTTATTCTGAAATGCATAGCTATAGGAAAAACCTTAAGGCCAGCTGGGTGACCCAGGGAGAAACTTCCTTATACTGGCAGTTTGCGCACATAACAGTCATTCTGTTCTTGATAGCTACTGTCAGCCAAACAGCTTTGGAAAGAAAAGGAAAGGTCAGTATAATGTGAAAAATAATACATTCACTAAAACAAATGCTGCACCATTATAAGCTTCCCCATTTCAGATTTCACTACCTATTTACTGCTTTTGGGGGGTTATGAGAAATGGCCCTACCCAAACAGAATAATGTGCTAAACCTGTTGGTAAATATGAGAACAAGAACCTTTGCTAAGTGGAAGAAGAGGTTTGTTAATAAAGTTGGCAGTGCTTCCACCCAGGACAGGGCCTCTGGGAACAAAGGGGATAATTAATCACTAATCTAAGGAAAGTAACTGGGAGCAAAGAAACTACTGCAACCAGCATATAACATTAACCATACGTATATAGATGCATAGCAGTATGGAAATAGTATGGAAATAATACAAGCTTTTCATAAGTGTAGTGCTACCCCCGTAGGAGCCGCTGATTAGAGTGGGTCCTCTGTTCTTTACTCAACCTTTTCCAAAGCACCTCAGCCCCACTAACACACCAGGTTGAGTGTACAAACACACATTATCACATGAACTCACTGAAAGCAATATTTAGTACGCAGTAGTAGCACTATATCAAAGAAAATAGGCACCAAACCAGGTAGTAAAGGCAAACTTAATCTATTGTGACCCAATATGGTTGATAATTTGGCAAGCATAAAATGGATTAACAATGATATTACCACAGTTTAGCATACAAAGTGTTTAACGGTAAGGACTAGGCTGACCTGAAAAGATGACATTTGGTGTCCAGATAGCATAAACAGTAGAAAGGCCACCTTAAATGCAGCAATGAGTAGTAGTAAAGCTTAATCTACTAAGTGCCGGAACTATACTACCAGAGTGCAGTTATGGGGGCGATGCTAGTCCTAGACCGATTGGGTATGCACTGTCCAGGGGTGGACTGACAACTCATGGGGCCTCCAGGCAATAGGGGATCATGGGGCCCCTGTGTCCTTGCCCAAACTCAAAAAACCCTATGAAAAAGGTACCAGGGGCATCTCTTGGGGCCCCCTACTGACCCCAGAAACTTGGGCAGTGCCTGAATTTACAAATGGACAGTCCGCCCCTGACACTGTCTAAAAAAAAAAGAGGATGGTAGCGGCGGGGGGACAGGGGAGCAAAAGGGGCCTTTGCAATGCTCTTCTGCTGGCTATCATTGGGGCCTTTAAGCACATTGGTGCACTTAACAACAATCTCAGTTAACATGGATGTGGTACAGGTGCAGTATAGGTATGGTATAAACTTGGCAGAAGTGCAAAGTAGATGTAGTTCAAATGCGGTAAAGGTTTGGTAGAATGTGGTATAGAGTTGATATAGTTGCAATCTAGGTTTGGAATAAGTGCACTATAGGGTGCACTTGATGTCCTGCTCTGAGTGGCTCAGTCCCTGCTAGAAGTATCAGCTATGGGCAAATAGCCATCTCCCCAGTCCCTGGGATGTTTTGGTGACCTCTCATTGTAGAATGGGGGGGTGCCCCTTCAGTCTCTCTCCAAAAGCCTCTGGTGATCAGCAGTAGGAAAAACAGGGTGAATCGACACTCCAGTCCCCCTTTGGCAGCAGTACAAGTGCTGTGATATGGGCAGTGCCATGCTGCACCCGGATGCCCTCACTTCCAGTCTCAGGCTTGGATCTCCATAGGTATGGTCTCTAGGTGGTAGGCGAATATTCAGATTGAGGTGCTCTCTCTCTCTCTCTAACTCCCAAGAGGAAGAACTTTCCCAGGCAGTTTAATAAAAAATCCTCTCTCCAATCCTTCTAATGCACAGTGCATATTGGGATTTGTAGTGCAACCATTATTGTGTAGCAATTATAAGGCAGCTGTCTCAAGCTACAACTCCCAGGATTCTCAGCACTCTGCATATAAGTTTATGGGGTTGCTTGGCTTTAGGAAAGCCCATGCTGGCCTGAGGAAGATGGTGCAGCATAACATCAGTATCTCAGTAGAGGGAGAGAAGAATATAGGTCATTGCCATCTTCATACTGCTGTAGCCTAACACCTGGCTACATAAGAAAAGATTAATAACAGTACATACTGTACATCTAATGTACAAACAGGTATTATTAGCAAAGGGCCCAGTAAGAATCCTGGTGGAATTGTGCATATGTCTGACCATCTTTATGTTGGAGACCTAAAGACAAAATCAGCTGTGATGGAGAGATCCTCCAACTGTTGTCTAACCACCCTGGAACACAGATTCACACTGGCAAAAACTGTGATGTAGCAGTGGAACCCATAGTCATCCATTTACTCTGCCTTTTAGTCCCTTGTAGTTTCTAATCTGTCATGCAGCCAGGCCTCTAACTACCAAAAGTGGCCTTTGAATGCCCAACCTCACTCTAACCTATGCTGGTTATCGAGTCTTATGCTAAAACTAACTATATTCCCAGACCAAAAGGGACAGGGTTAACTAAATCAACAAGAGATGCACATAACGTTATCACAATAAACAGGTTCACCAAATAATATGATGGAAGTGGCCACTACGCACATACAGTAGCACAGACCTAGCTATCTGGCAATGTGCATGTTAGATAATACCCAGAGCACAGAGATGAGTTTGTCACAAGGATTTAGATAAACACTCAAGAAGATATGGGCAGCTGCATTTAAACTACAGTATTAGAACATATGAATACTTGCCTAACAGTCCCTGCTTCTGGTCTGGGAGAAAAGCAGCAGTAGTAAAGAGCCCCTGTGTGTATAAGGTCATGTGGCTCACTTCTCTGTCTCTCTCTACTTCCTCCTTCTGGGATTTCTGACCCAGACACACAGAGAAAGGAAATGCTGTACCTAAACAATCTCTGTGAACATTAAGCAGCAGAGCCACTTGCAGACAGTAGAGGGCAGCAGATTCCTACACTAGCGTATTCTCAGACGTGGAACAACAATGCAGATCAGGATTTCTGACTTTTCTTAATATGATTTTGCTCAATGTTTAGTGGCTTACATATATTATTGTTCTTTTTTTTTTTATTAAGACTATCAGTGATAGTGTTGGAGTATCAGTGAGATCTGTTAGCCGCCATACAAAACCACTAGATCTAAACACATTAGCATAAAAAGTAAAAGTTACTTATCTTAGGATTCATATTCTTGCCTATTCATGTAGACATGCAGGAGCACATTCTCACATCACAAGATTTGGATTTTTCAAGAGGCATGACTTCACTGGTGCCTAGGTGAACATTTTCTTGCCCCCTCGCCCCCTGCATTTTGCTCTCCACCTGCTCTGAGACATACAATAAATAGCAGCTAGACTCAAAATCAGTTTGCTGCAGCAGATCAGGCAGCGATTACGACTGGTTATCAGAGGTTATAGCATATTATTACTACTCACTGACTGGTTGCCTGAGGTTACTGCACATCATTACTGCTCACTGAATCATTGCTAGAGGCTACTGTACATCATTACTGTTCACTGATTGGTTGCTAGAGGCTACTGCAAATCATTACTGCTCACAGATTGGTTGCTAGAGGTTACTGTACATTCTTACCACCCATTGATTTGTTGCTAGAGGTTATTGCACTTTTTTACCATATCCCTGGACTGGAGGGGGCAATCTGTTTAGGAAGGGGCCTATGGACTGGAGTTAGCAATCTCTTTATGAAGGGGCTCTTGGACTTGAGGTAGCAGTCTCTCTGTGGAGGCCCTACACAGAGAGACTGCTCCCTCCAGTCCAGGGGCCCCTTCATAGGGAGACTACCACCTCCAGTTTAGGGGCTCCTCCATAGAGAAACTACTATCTCCAGTCCAGGGGCCACTCCATAAAAAAAATAGCTACCTCTATTCCAGGGGTCTCTCCTATTGTAGTGTGACATTAGAATGGAAAGCCCCTGGGATAGTAAATCAGTGCAGAATGCAGTAACAGTAGTGCAGGAACACTGTGCTCCCCCAGCAGTGTAGGGGTTAAGGTGTCTGCCTGGTGTGTGCCCTGTATGTGGTCTCCCCTGAGTTGACTCAGTTGAGCCTGGTCTGGGTTTCCCCTTCTCTTCCCCCTCCTCCTCCACAGCGGGCACGTGCCGGTCAGGTATGTCATTGTGGACACAGGGCATCACGGAGCACTTGCTGTGTGATGATGGGATCAGTTGGACACTGTCACACTGGAATCTCGGAGGGGGCGAAGAGGCAGATGGCCCTGCACTTGCCAGCACAGCAGCGGCAGGGCCCCAGAGGAATTGAAGCCGTGCAAGGAGAGGAAGTGGACAGGATACACCATCCTGACAGGGCTGCAGCCAGGACTGGAGGAGGTAAATATGGCCGACCGTTCCATCCATGGCTGGCTCAGGCTACCCTGGACAGTGAAGGCTCAAGGGGCAGCTGCTTTGGCCCCCACAACAATGGCTGGGCCTGGGGCAGCTGTACCTTTTGCCCTGTGTTAAAGAAGGCCCTCGAAGGTGAGTAATCTCTACGTTTTCCCACTTTTTTAGTGATGTTGCATAGGGTAGTAGAACTCTAATACATGATTTGTACACATTTTCTACAGTATTTAACTGTAGAATTGAGGAGCAGAAAAACAGAATCATACTTTTTGATCCAAAACAGCTATGCTGGAGTGGCATTCCATAAGCATGCCAGTAAACATAAGGTACCTGCATAGGCTGCGCTATCAAATGCACTCCTTCTTTTCCAAAAAATGCTGCAAAAATAGCTGCTTTTTAAATATTGATATTTTTTTTTAAACTTCATGGCTAAACCCTCAATACCATCCCTAACCACTCCCTCTATGTATATGCATGCAAGATGGCAGAGCCTAGTATATAAATAGTTGGATCTTTGGGGACAGCCTGGAGCAGAGTTTTTTGTTCATTCACGAAGCACTAGTGATTTGTTTATAACACAATTTGTTTGTATTTAGATATTTGTTAGCAGTTATCACTAAAAGTGAAAGTAAAAGAAAATCTCAAATTTTGGGTTGACACCAGAACAGTAATAGAGGGGAAACCTTCCAATAGGGACACTGGTTCTTATGACCCTGGTGACACCTCAGGATTCTAACACTTTGGATGGATTTCCTCTCACTTCTTGCTTTGGCTATGGGACAGAAAGTGAAGGAAAATCTCTCCAAAGGGACACTGATGGCAAAAAGAAAACCCAACATGAATTATAACCTTCCCTAATTCTATCCAAAATGAAACAATGTTTAGCTTTAGCTCTACTTTAAACTTTTTAACTTTCCTTTGCTATGTAGATATATTTCCTATACGGGCTCCAAAATTAATAAAAACATGTCAATTTAAGCAATGCACAGAACAGCCCATTGCGTAGTTTACAAAAAATATAAATACAACATTCACAATATCTCCCTGTTTAGCTCTTGTGGAATCTTCCATGTGTGTGTAGCTCTACTCCTGGAATGAGCAGCTGATTCACTCTGGCTCTATTAATCTGTCTAGGGGTTGCTTTTTTTATGATTAATTGCTAGTAGACTTTATAACAAGAGATTGGTTGGGGTGGTATGGGAATAGGATACTCCAGAAGTGCTGACTTGTAACAGGAAGACAAACATCACCTGGTAACATCTTTGAAGAGTATTTAACCACCTCAATACAGGGCACTTTTACCCCCTTCCTGCCCGGACCAATTTTCAGCTTTCAGCGCTCTCACACTTCGAATAATAATTACTCAGCCATGCAACACTGTACCCAAATGAAATTGTTGTAACTTTTTTCACACAAATAAAGATTTTGTTTGGTGTTATTTAATTAGCACAGTTTTTTTATTTTTTGTGCTATAAATTAACAAAGACCGAAAAGTTTGAACAAAAAATGACTTTGTTTCTGTTATAAAATTTTGCAAATAAGTAATTTTTCTTCATAAATTTGGGCCAAAATGTATACAGCTATATTACTTAGGTAAAATAGTCCCAATCAGTGTGTATTATTTGGTCTGTGTGAATGTTATAAAGCCTACAAGCTATGGTACCAATAATTGAAAATTGATCACACCTGATCAAACCTGATGTACTGATGGCCTTTTTTGGAAA